GTGTGTGCTTTTGCCTAATATAGCTAGTTGTTGTACCGTTCATCAAGCCTCGACTGATGTTTAGGTATATGAGAGTTATAATTCACTATTCCTTGTGGGATCTGGGAGAAACTACGGGTACAGCTGCTCCATTACACTGTTTACCCACTCTTTTCATTCTTTTACTGCTGACAATTTACCTCCTCTTTAATTCTTTTACCCCTCACTTTTTACCTCAACTTTTTATTATTTTATTCCGTACCACTGTAACCATAGAAATATAAAATGTAACGGCAGATAAGAACCATTCGGCCCATCTAGTCTGCCCAATTTTCTAAATACTTTCATTAGTCCATGGCCTTATCTTATAGTTAGGATAGCCTTATGCCTATCCCACGCATGCTTAAACTCCTTTATTGTGTTAACCTCTACCACTTCATCTGGAAGGCTATTCCATGCATCCACTACCCTCTCAGTAAAGTAATCCTTCCTTATATTATTTTTAAACCTTTGTCCCTCTAATTTAAGACTATGTCCTCTTGTTGTGGTAGTTTTTCTTCTTTTAAATATAGTCTCCTCCTTTACTGTGTTGATTCCCTTTATGTATTTAAATGTTTCTATCATATCCCCCCTGTCTCGTCTTTCCTCCAAGCTATACATGTTAAGATCCTTTAACCTTTCCTGGTAAGTTTTATCCCGCAATCCATGAACAAGTTTAGTAGCCCTTCTCTGAACCCTCTCTAAGGTATCAATATCCTTCTGAAGATACGGTCTCCAGTACTGCGTACAATTCTCCAAGTGAGGTCTCACCAGTGTTCTGTACAATGGCATAAGCACTTCCCTCTTTCTACTGCTAATACCTCTCCCTATACAACCAAGCATTCTGCTAGCATTTCCTGCTGCTCTATTACATTGTCTGCCTACCTTTAAGTCATCAGAAATAATCACCCCTAAATCCCTTTTCTCATATGTTGAGGTTAGGACTCTATCAAATATTCTGTACTCTGCCCTTGGGTTTTTACGTCCAAGATGCATTATCTTGCACTTATCCACATTAAATGTCAGTTGCCACAATTCTGACCATTTTTCTAGTTTACCTAAATCATTTGTCATTTGGCTTATCCCTCCTGGAACATCAACCCTGTTACATATCTTAGTATCATCAGCAAAAAGACATACCTTACCATCAAGACCTTCTGCAATATCACTAATAAAAATATTAAAGAGAATGGGTCCAAGTACAGATCCCTGAGGTACCCCACTGGTGACAAGTCCAAGCTTCGAATATATTCCATTAACTACAACCCTCTGTTGCCTGTCACTCAGCCACTGCCTTACCCATTCAACAATATTGGAATCCAAACTTAAAGATTGCAGTTTATTGATAAGCCTTCTATGTGCAACAGTGTCAAAAGCCTTACTGAAATCTAGGTAAGCAATGTCTACTGCACCACCCTGATCTATAATTTTAGTTACCCAATCAAAAAAATCAATAAGATTAGTTTGGCATGTTCTCCCTGAAGTAAACCCATGTTGTCTCTGATCTTGAAATCCATGTGTTTTTAGATGTTCAACAATCCTATCCTTTAACATGGTTTCCATCACTTTCCCCACTACTGAAGTAAGGCTTACTGGCCTATAGTTGCAAACCCCCTTTCATTCATGTGCTCAGTACTGTAATCCCCTCCTTTTTATTGCCCCTTACTGTTGCTCCACTTGAATTTCAAGCAATACTCCATCAGTTCCTTTACACCTCGACTACTCCTTGTTAAATCCTGTATATTCCTCATTTCTGTCCTGTCACCCTATTACCCATGGCCTTCTTTAACGCAGGGCAAATGGGGCAGCTGTCTGTCTGTGTGCTAGTCAGCATGTCTGTGTGCAGTGGCGTACATACCAGGGTCGCGGCTGCGACCGGGCCCGGCCCACAAGGGGGACCGGTATGTACCCACAGGGCCAGCCTCTTCCCCTGGGGGCCCAGGAGCCGGTCACCTCAGGGCCCCCCGAGGCTGGCCCTGCTGACACCCGGAAGGCGGGCGCGCGAGGGAGCACTCAGTGCTTCCTCTTCAGCTCCCTCGCGCACCGCACTGATACCGGAGCCGTGTGTGTGTTTGAGTGAGTGTTAGAGTGAGTGTTAGTGAGTGAGTGTTAGTGAGTGAGTGTGTGTGTTTGAGTGAGTGTTAGAGTGAGTGTTAGTGAGTGAGTATTAGTGAGTGTTAGTGTGTGTGTTAGAGTTAGTGTTAGTGAGTGAGTGTTAGTGAGTGAGTATTAGTGAGTGTTAGTGTGTGTTAGTGAGTGTTAGAGTGTGTGTTAGAGTGAGTGTTAGTGTGTGTGAGTGTTAGAGTGAGTGTTAGTGAGTGTGTTAGAGTGAGTGTTAGTGTGTGTGTCTGCTAGTGAGTGTTGGTGTGTGTGTCTTACTGAGTGTGTGTGTGTGTGTTAGTGAGTCTGTTTGATGTCTGTTAGTGAGTGCGTGTTTGTCAATCAGAGTGTATGTTTTGTAAGTGAGTGTGTATGTATGTTTGTCGCTGAGTGTGTCTCTGTCAGTAAATGTGTGAGTCTGTTAGCTAGTGTGTATGCGTCTGTAAGTGTGTGTGTGTGTGTCTTCAGCACTTACCTTTCTCCAGCGCCGGACTCCCTTGGCGCTGGGGATCCCTCAGCCTCTCAGCTCCGAATGTGACCGCGCACGCATTCAAACCGCCCATAGGAAAACATTACTCAATGCTTTCCTATGGACGTTCAGTGTGCTCCTCTAGCGGCTGTCAGTGAGACAGCCACTAGAGGCTGGATTAACCCTCAGTGAAACATAGCAGTTTCTCTGAAACTGCTATGTTTTCAGCTGCAGGGTTAAAACTAGAGGGACCTGACACCCAGACAACTTCATTGAGCTAAAGTGATCTGGGTGTCTGTAGTGGTCCTTTAAGTGTGTGTGCATCTGCAAACTCTGCAAACTAGAGGGACCTGACACCCAGACAACTTCATTGAGCTAAAGTGATCTGGGTGTCTGTAGTGGTCCTTTAAGTGTGTGTGCACTGGCGTACATACTGCGGTCGCAGGGGTCGCAGCCCTGTAACCCCTGCGACCAGGTGCCCACCGCCATGTGTTGCGGCCCGGCCCGCGCGCGGGGGGGCCCACGGATCAGTTTTAGCACCGGGGCCCCATGGGTCATGTGTACGCCACTGTCTGTGTGTCAGTGTAGAATATTGCATATTCTATGTTTCTATTGATGAATTATGCCGGGCCGCAAAGATATTCATTGTGGGCCGCATGTGGCCCGCGGGCCTCGAGTTTGACACCCATGCTTTACAGTGTCCACTGGAATACTGTTCCATGTATCTACCACCCTTTATATACACTGGACAAAAGTATTGCGACACATGACCATTACACCAACAGGGACTTTTTTGACATCACATTCTAAATACATAGATATTAATTTGTAGCTGTTCCCCCTTTTGCAGGAATAACAGCTTCCATTTTTTTGGGAATGCTTTTCACAGGATTTTGAAGTGTTTCTGTAGGAACTTTTGCCAATTCATTCAATAGAGCATTTGTGAGGTCAGGCTGATGTTGGACGAGAAGGCCTGGCTCGCAATCTCCATGTTCGATGGGGTTGAGATCAGGGCTGAGCACAGGCAGTCAAGTTCTTCTACACCAAACTCAACCAACCATGTCTTTATGGACCTTGCTTTGTGCACTGGAGCACAGTTATGCTGGAATAGAAAAGAGCCTTCCCCAGACTGTTCCCACAAAATTGGAAGCATAGCATTGTCCAAAATATCTTAGTGGTGAAGCATTAAGATTTCCCTTCACTTAAAGTAAGGGGCTTTACAAACCTGTGAAAAACAGCCCTCATCCACCAAACTTTACAGTTGTCACAATGCAGTCAGGCAGGTAACGTTCTCCTGGCTTCCGCCAGACTCGCCCATCAGACTGCCAAACAGAGAAGCATGATTCATCACTCCACAAAACACATTTCCATTGCTCCAGAATCCAGTGACGGCGTGCTTTACACCACTCGATCCACCGATTGGCATTGTACGTGGTGATGTGAGGCTTGCATGCAGCTGCTCGACCATGGAAACCCATTCCATAAAAATTACGCCGCAATATTGTGCTAATATTAATGCCAGTGGAAGTTTGGAACTTTATCGCTATGGAATCAGCAGAGTATTGGCGACTCTTACACACCATGCGCCTCAGCACTTTGTGACCCTGCTCTGTGAGTTTACGTGGTCTTCCACTTCGTTGCTAAGTTGCTGCTGCTCCTAAACACGTCCACTTTCCAATAATACTACTTACAGTTAAACGTGGAATATCTAGCAGTGATAAAATTTCACAAACTGACTCGTTGCAAAGGTGGCATCCTATCACAGTACCACGTTTGAATTCACTGAGCTCTTCAACGACCCATTTCCCCCCAAAATGTTTATAAATTCAGACTGCATGGCTAGGTGCTTGGTTTTACCTGTGGCAAGGGGTCTGATAGAAACACCGGAATTTAATAATTAAGAGGAGTATCCCAATACTTTTGTACATATTGTAATTGAAAATCCATATAGCACATTATACTGAAGCTTATCAATCTGAGAAAAACTCAGTGATTAGTGAATATAGTTTGAGCACGCTACCTAATTCTTCATGTAAAGGTGTCTCTCAGCTCACTGTTGACTAGAGTAGGACTAGTAAAATAGTATTTGATGTTTCTGACAGGCTTATTCCTTTGTATAATCATATCCTCTAACTAAACATGTGTAAGTCTGTTGTGTTAAAAAAAAAAATCTCATGGGTTTTGAGTACTCTGCACAACTAGGCATAACATATAAAAAATAAATAAACCTTGAGCTTTGATGAAAAAATAAAATAAAAAATAAAATAAATGTGCATTAAACTCCCATATGATACCAGCTATTTCCACTCCTCTAGCTGTCATTCAGGGAGCCAGTCTCATCTGTCTTTTTAAAGCAGTCCTTCCTACAGCATGCATTGATGCCCCGCCCCCAGGCGTGACATCACTCAGCCCCAGTGCAGTACTGGGAAGGGACCATGATGTTCTCAGTGTGAGCACATTGCTGCAGACACAGGACCTGTCACGGTGAGTCTGGGGGCTGCATTTACTGCAAGGCGCTGCAATGCCAGTATTTTATCACAAATTGTGCTCTCCTAAATGAAACAGCATTATGCATTCAATAAAAAAACAAACAAAAAAAAAATCTATAAACTACCTGTTTGATCTGAATTTTATAAATTACAGTCCTGGGCTGTTTGCCCTGTTCAGAGAGTTTTATTGGTAAATCTGAATTGCTTCTAATTCATCTTATTTTAACTGGTGTGCAATGCACAGTTTGCCAGGTAGGTGTAACAGGTATATTGCAAAATGCTTAATTCTGCTCCACTTACAAATCTCATACTTCTTGTTCTGTAAAGTGAATGCATGTAGTTATTTACAGTTCTATATTCACATGTATTTAATGGCTTAATGTGAAATGACTGAAAGATTCAGTTATAATGTGGTCACCCTGTACATTGCAGGAGTGTTGATGTTGATACATCAGCTGTAATGTTTGCAGGATCTTATCTATGAGGTAAGACAGTTACTTAAAGGGGCACCATAGGCACCCAGACCACTTCATCTCATTTAAATGGGCTGGCTACAGTGCCCCTGTCCCCTTTAGCCCTGCATCTGAGAACATTGCCGTTTTGGAGAACCTGCAATGTTTAAATTGCAGGATTAAACTGTGGGTCTAACACACAGCCATTAGAGGTGCCTACTGCAGCTTCATGGTGTTTAGCTTAATGAAACGACGCTGGACGTCCAGCGAATTTGCAAGTACCCATAGGAAAGCATTGATTCGGTCTTTAGTGTTTTTTGAGTGTTCTGCATTCTCTTGATGGGCTTTAAAGGGACACTATAAACAGTACAACCACTACAGTTTAAAGGGAAATATGGTTACAGTCTAAACTCAAACTCTGGGAGATGACACCTGATGGCTCTGTCCCTGTACTTCCTATGAAGGTGCAGTTGAGAAGGTCTCAGCCTATCAGTAGTGCAGAGGTTTCCTGATTTGAAGCTTCTGATTTTCATAGGAATTTTATATGAGTAGTGGTATCGCACTCCATCTTCTAGCGTTTGGAGTTAAACCATTAACAAACCGTTTAACCTCTTAAAGTAAGACTGTGTCTGGGTCCTCATCAACACAACCACTTCATTGTGCCTTTAATTTAGTGTTTCTCGTGCAAAGAGACTAAGCCGTCATCCTCTTAATGAATTCTGCCTTAGCTAAAAATAAATAAAATAAAGTCTTCCTGGTATAGTGCTGCAATGTATGCAGAACTGACTTTTAGTATCTTTTTGCACGTAATAAAGACCACAAACTCTCCCCATAGAGATGCATGAGAAGGTGCTGAGTGGTACAGAATAGTAATTGCTGTGCATGCACACTAGCCCCCCTGCTCCTGTAGGAATGTGTTGGATTAACTAAGAACATTATTATTGATATCAGTCATGATAGAGTAGTGGCCTCAAGGAGTAAAATACTCTGTTAGGAATACTTGTTGAAAAAATAAAAATAAATTAATATATATTTTTATTTAAAGGACCACTATAGTCACCCAGACCACTTAAGTTAAATGAAGTAGTCTGTGTGCCAGGTCCCTCAGGTTTTAACCCTTCAGATGCAAACATAGCAGTTTAAGAGAAACTGCTATGTTTACATTTGGGGTTAAGCCAGCCTCTAGTGGCTGTCTTCCTAAAAGCCATTAGAGGCACATTTGCGACGCTGGAGGCATATTATGCCTCCATCGCGCAGAGCGTCTATAGGAAAGCATCAAGAAATGCTTTCCTATGGACATTTTGAAGCGCGCACGGTACTTGGCGCGCATTCTCATTTAACTCCACTGATGTCGGCGGGGGAGGAGAGGTCACCAGCGCCAAGGGAACCCAGCGCTGTATTAAGGTAAGTGGCTGAAGGGGTTTTAAACTCCTTCAGCGCCATGGGAGGGGGACCCTGAGGGTGAGGGCACCCTCAGGGCACTATAGTGTCGCTATAGTGATCCTTTAATGTTAGTGTGTTCTTTACCTTTTTAGGTTATGGATACCCCACACTTGGATACCCCTGCTAATCTTCTGCAATCATCTGTCAGGATGAATTTTTTTTTTTTTTTCCCCCAATACAATGCTTCTCACTCATCGCTGTGGAGAAACACTGAGTCTAATGTTTCTAAGTGAGCTGCATTCCCAGAGTTCACCTGAACACGAAAACTTTTAGTAAGTGAAAGTTTTCAGTGAGGAAGTGTAACGAGCGCTTACCTTTCCCCGCCGGTCCCGCGCAGCGCCGGGTCCTCTTCCAACACTTCCGGGGGGCGGCTCAGCTCTTCTGACGCCGGCCGCTCAGAACACGCCCACCTTTATGACGCGGCGCATGTGTGCTGACGTCAGATAGAAAATGCCGCCAAAATTCAAATGTGGCCACGCTCCCGGACTTTTTGGGGGCGTGGCTTCAAAATTAAAGCCAAAGAACCCACACTATATAAGGGCTATCATGACACTGGTCAGATGCCCTAGTGTGGTTCTTGTTTAAAGTCCCCTGGTGCTATTATCTCTGTTTGTCCTTCTTGGTATTTGACCCTTGGCTATCTCTCCGACTATTCTGTTTTCTGGTTTCCCGTTACTTGGCTTGGATAATCGTGTGCCCGTCTTCCGTATTCCCTTGACCTCTGGCTATTCCTTTAACTATTCTCAGACGCTAGTCCGGCCATTCTAAGGTCCGGTAACCGTCTTTCTGTGGGTTTCACGCTGCGTGAAAGGGTCACTGTTGTGACATTGGTCACTGTCGTGACAGGAAGTACCTCTAGTGGCTGTCAGCTAGATGTAAATATGGCTATATTCTACAGGGGCTATGCACCAAAACTATAACATTAAGGTGAAGTGGGTTTTGCGGATTGGTGTAATCATTTGAGGAGATGAAATAAGGAAACACGCTTGCACCAGTACACAGTTAGAGGTTTGTTTTTGTTTTACAAAAGCTGGAAAGCACAATGAATTAGAAGCAATGTTTAGTAAAAGCTACGTCGTTAGGAGAGTATTTTATTTTTGTTGTAGGTCATCTAGCTTAAAATGTCAATAGTGCAGGCTTCCCCAAACTCCGGCCCTCCAGATGTTGCTGAACTACAACTCCCATGATTCTATGAATGAACTAGGTAGGCTGAGAATCATGGGAGTTGTAGTTCAGCAACATCTGGAGGACCGGAATTTGTTGAAGCCTGCACTAGAGGATGTGGGATGTTCTAGTTAAAAATCAATTCGTGCACGCTAGTTAAAGCTTTGTGCTCTTAGCAATGTCCAGAATCGCTAAACAATTCCCCTTTTCTATTGAAGGTTTAATGCAGCTGTGTGAACACAAGACTTCTAACAGTGTGACAGGTTTATGTTGGATACAGTATGTGTAACGGCTAATAGTTCATTGGAAAGCATGTGATGAAATACGACTAATGCACATCTAATTATAAATACCATGTAAATTCGATTAACAAAATTAAATGCATTGATAAAACTACAGATATGAGACTGACTTATGTGTCTAACTTGTGTACAGTTAATCACGGTTGACTGTTAATAATGCCAAACATTGATATGTTGGAAGAGATACATAGCCTCAGGGATTGACTGGCTTGTAGGCTGGACCAGCTGCATTACTCTGCTTTTACAAATGTGATAACTTGACAACTAGCACAGTGAGAAGGATAAAACAAATGAGGTGATTTAAAATAGGACTATGAATTATTACGCATGGCAGTGGCCCCTTAAAGAATAGAATGATAACTTTAAAATAGAATCAAACAAAGAACTCGTGTCATTTATTTATATTTCTTCCCAATATGGAGCCGTCATTTTCTTGCAGTTTTGGAGCACAGTGTTCCACTGTAATTAGTGGCTTATTGTCTGTTGATTACAACAAAGAGCAGTTCTATATAGAACAATGCACGATAAGGAGGACCAGGGGTATTAGACTCTGCTGAATGTTGGATTGGATCTCTAAACCCTGGAACTTTCAAACACAATGAAATCGATACAAAAACAAAGACATGGGTCTTGTCATCTTTCAACGCATTGTACATGCTACTAGTAATAAGGGGCATATGAAGAAAAAAACACCAAAACAAACAAATAATATCTTCTTGTGGGTCTATGCCATTATTACCAACATTGTGCACATGTATTTATTTATTGTGGGAATATTGTGATAGTGTATTCTGACACTTCAAGAGCAATTCCAATCACTTTGTTTGAATATATACTTGTTTTCATGTACTTTTATACATTTTTAATAAGTTTTATGGGTTAGAGGGATCCTATAGTGCCGGGGAAAACAAACCCGTTTTCCTGGCATTATAGACTCCTGGAGCGCTCCCCCTCCTGGGGGCTGATGAGGTTAAAACCCCATCAGCCATTTACTGAATCTAGCGCCGATGTCCTTCGGCGCTGGGTCAGGCTTCTCCCCCGCCGTCAGCTAGCGGGAGAGACCTAATGCGCATGCGCGGCAATGGCCGCACGTGCATTAGACCTCCCCATAGGAAAGCATTATTCAATGCTTTCTTATGGGGAAAATCTGACGCTGGAGGTCCGTGAGGATGTCCAGTGTCAGATAACGGACCAAAAGTCCGTTTTGGATTCAGGAAGCCCTCTAGTGACTGTCTGGTAGATAGGCACATAGGGCAGACTTAGAGCTGTAATGTAAACATTGCAGTTCTCCGGAACTGCAATGTTTTACAAGCCAGCACTAAGTGCAGAAGGGTCACAGCACCCAGACTACTTCAGCTAGCTGAAGTGGGCTGGGTGCCTACAGTGTCCCTTTAAGTAAAGCCAGAAGATTAGAATATTGTGTTTAACCCTATGTTGATAGGCTTAAAGAAGTAGGAGCCAGCTAAACAAAAATAGGAGCAAGTTTTTTTTTGTTTTTTTTTTCAAGAAGACTAGAATTGAGGCTGCCTGCCTCAATTCTGCCTTAGCCGGCCGCCACAAGGGTGCAAGAGGGAGCTGCTTCTGCAGCCGCTGAACTGTCTGAGAAACACCAAGACAAAATTCCTACTTACCATGGCTTGAAGTGGCATGATAGTCACCAAAACAACTTTAGCTGAATAAAGCAGCCGCTCTAAACTATTATAGTGATTATGATGCCCCCTGACTTATGCAGCCTTCCTAAACACTTCCAGTAAAGAAAGCTCCTTTGTTTAAACTTTATTAAAACAGACTAATGTATCTTTTTTTTTTTCATTTTTTTTTTTTATTATTATATCCTGGTCTGTCTTCTAGACCCTGCAGGAGCCTCCTGTATATGAGTAAAGTTCAATTTACAGAGCAGGAGTTAAAAACGTCTAACACAAGTTAACATCTGATTAAAAATGAAACCATTTTCTGATGCAGGCAGTCACAGACTGGGGAGCAAGAGAAACAAAATTGCATGTAATTGAGCAGTGAGACTGCAGAGGCATAATCTGTACACACATAACTGCTACATTAAAGGAACACTAAAGTGTCCGCAATACAAATCTATATTCCTGACACTATAGTTCTAATAGTGCCATTTAGGTGGCTGACCTCCTCGCCCCTGATTAAAACTGCATTTAATTAACTTTTTTTCCTGTGTTGTGTGGATCTGTCACATCTGACTCTGCCCCTGCTACACCTCTTTGGCTGAGATCATCAAACTTGATGATCTCTGCTAATTCAATGCTATCTAATAAGAAAGTATTGGGAGGCTATTGCGCATGTGCGGCAAAATGCCGCTCTGCATCAATCCGCATCTCCTCATAGAGATACATTGAATCAATGCATCTCTATGCGGACCGCTGAGCGTCTCCATGCAGGGCGTGGAGACGCTAAACAAAGGTGCTGCACACAGTGCCTTCTGAGTGACATCCACTAGAGGCGTTCCTAGGCAGTTTCTCTGAAAAAGTAGCAATTTTACATTGTAGAGACCAGCAGTAGATACCAGAACTGCATTAAAGGGACACTATAGTCACCAGAACAACTACAGCTTATTGAATTTGTTTTGGTGAGTAGAATCATTACCTTCAGGCTTTTTGCTGTAAACACTGTCTTTTCAGAGACAATGCAGTGTTTACATTACAGCCTAGTGATAACTTCACTGGCCACTCCTCAGATGGCTGTTAGAGATCCTTCCTGGGTCATGGCTGCCTAAAATGCATCCAAACATTCAGTATCTCCTCCCTCTGCATGCAGACACTGAACTTTACTCATAGAGATGCATTGATTCAATTAATCTCTGAGGAGATGCTGATTGGCCAGGGCTGTGTTTGAATTGTGCTGGCTCTGCCCCTGATCTACCTCTTTGTCAGTCTAAGCCAAACCTATGGGGAAGCATTGTGATTGGATCAGGCTACCACTTCTGCTGATGTCAGCAGACTGCTTGTTTTTCTGAGTCGAACAGCATGCAGAGTTACAGCTTCTGGCTTGAATACAGTACAATTTTTACTATATTTATGGAGGCATGAGGGGCCCAGGGGGCTAGATGGTGGTTTTAACACTATAGGGTCAGGAATACATGTTTGTGTTCCTGACCCTATAGTGACCATTTAAGCTGCAGTTGTTCTGATGTCTTTTTTATTTTTTTTTATTATTATTTTTTTTATTTTTTTATTTCATAATCAAACGTGACACTCAACAAACCCCTAGTCAGTTCACGTATTTCAAGTGTTCCTGCTCCAGTACACCCAGTGCATCTAATGAAGCCCTTGATTAGTTGCATCTGGTGTTCTTAATACAGCACCTGCTTTACATAGAGGGATACTATTCAGGGGGTTGAATAATTTTGAGACTGGAGAAGTCATTATAAGTTGCGTTTTCAGTTGAATTTGGGGAAACCACTTGAAGCATTCATTGTGTTGAGCTATATCAATTGCTTTGGTTTAATTTGTTCATCGCAAACAGCTGAAAGCCTGTAAATTTTGATAATAAACCTGATTTTCAATGGCGGTTGAAAATTTAACCATAGCTGCACTATAGTAAATCAACCGCATATAGTTACAATATAATATATTTATAATACACCTGTTATCTTTATTTGCTGCTAACCATGTGTGTTTTTTTTTTTGTTTTTTTTTTAACATGTGTTTATGATTATTTAATGTGTTTGACTCATCAATAACCCTAGCAATAAGCATGTATATTTGTTTCACACTATATAGCCTTCTATATTGTTTTCGATAAAGTTGTTTTTATGCCTATGGTATCCCATTTTAATGTCAATGGGCAGTACAAATTTTAAGATGGATCCTAAATTTTCAAAATTGCTACCCCATCCATGTTGTTCATTGCCCATATCCCCCTTGTTGGCGGTGGGATGAACTCCAGCTCTGTTGTGTCCCTGCCTGCCGCTGGGGACAGATTTTTGCTGTAGAAAGCTAAATTGATGGTTCCCATGTGTTGTACTTTGGGCATACTGCTTGTCTACATTTGGCCAAAGAAGCATGATGTAATATAGAGCAGGGTAACAAGTGCTCGTTTAGCCACTACATACTGCAGTTTTGGTCTTGCGTTCCAATGTTGCCTGTCTTCTTATCTTATTACTTTGCACGGTTATTCCTTCAGTTTTGTCTTGCTTATTTTGGCTCTAAGTGTCTTTGGCAATTTGACATGTTAGGGCTGCGTTAAGGAAGTGAGAAAGAGGAACAGCTCAGTCTGTCAACATTCCTCACTGCTTTGACGAGAAATTATCGGGATTTTCTGAGTTTTACAAGGTATGGTTTTTATCAACATACATCATTCTGTGTTGGAATCTCCTGTGTGACTTGTCTAACTGCAAATTCCTAAGGACACATTGTGCAAGACTGATTCTGGGGTGCTCTGATCTAACACACTATCTTACTATGTTACGATGGTATAATCTAGTGCAGGGGTAGGCAACCTTTTAGCAGCACTGTGGAGATATAGGATTGTGATGTCCCATAGCGTGCCGGTCCTATATTTTTATTTATTTTTTTATTTTTATTTTTTTAAATCGAGGGGTGTATGATGGCGTATTCTACTTGTGTTATTTTTCCTGTAATTGCTTTGTATCGTTGTATTTGTGTGTATATGCAGGGCCGTCTTTAATAGTGACTGGACCCTGGGCAAAGCATTTGCTTGGGGCCCCCTGGACCCTGTTCCCCCTCCTCAGGCATGCAATCACGTCCTCCACCTCAACGCAGTGGCGGACCTAAAGTAGAGAGGTGCAAGAATTTTTGGGGGTCTCCCTGTTGCACAGGTGATTAAAAGGTAGATCCCCATCTGTCGTGCAACTCCAGAAATGCATTGACAGCTGGGGCTCTACCATTTACCCATGTTTTCAGGTCTGTATTTAGCACTAAGCAGTTTTTGTGTGTTTGAATGTAAACAGGTTTTTGTATGGAATATGTTTGTATGTGGTGTTGGCGTGATTGCAAGCATGTATTTGTGTAGTGTTGGTGTAACGAAATCCCTTATTAAAGGACCACTCTAGGCACCCAGACCACTTCAGCTTAATGAAGTGGTCTGGGTGCCAGGTCCTTCTAGGGTTAACCCATTTTTCATAATTATAGCAGTTTCAGAGAAACTGCTATAATTATGAATGGGTTAAGCCTTCCCCCTAATCCTCTAGTGGCTGTCTCATTGGCAGCCACTAGAGGCGCTTGCGTGCTTCTCACTGTGATTTTCACAGTGAGAGCACGCAAGCGTCCATAGGAAAGCATTGTAAATGCTTTCCTATGCGACGGGCTGAATGCGCGCGCAGCTCTTGCCGCGCGTGCGCATTCAGCCGGCGGGCGGATCGGAGGCGGAGAGGAGGAGGAGAGCTCCCCGCCCAGCGCTGGAAAAAGGTAAGTTATTACCCCTTTCCCCCTTCCAGAGCCGGGCGGGAGGTGGACCCTGAGGGTGGGGGCACCCTCAGGGCACTATAGTGCCAGGAAAACGAGTATGTTTTCCTGGCACTATAGTGGTCCTTTAAACAGACCATGCGAACCAGCCTGTTCGGTTTTTTGGTTACAGAGTGATTTCGTGCAAATAGCGAGAAAAACGAATGAACTACCGAACCACCCGACCTCCCACTGAGGTCGTGTGGCGCCTATTAACCACCCAGACTTTTGCGGTTAACCACAGACTAATTGGGGAATAGCTGGTGGTCCGCGTTCGTTTACCGAACACGTGGCAATCGCCATTTTGGATTGCCGAACGCTCAGCGGTAAATGGCGAGGATTCCCTGTAACTAATTTCGGCTACTTATTTTGTCGAACACCGCTACTACCTCTTCAAATCCTCGTTCGTACGGTGGAAAAAACACAAGAATGTCGGAGATACTACTTCATTCGTGCGTTTGAAATATGCGATAGTGACCAACCCCAGATAGCTACAGTATGGAACTTGTAGTCGGCTACAATCACACGAACGGCTGGCGAAAGCCAAACTTCAGTCGACTTTTCTGAGAACTGTGTTTGTGGGATCTGAGCGCTATTCGCCTAGAATATGCACTCAGATCCAAGCTATCTGGGGATATGTGGGACTTAAAGTTTATGTTATGTAAAATGAAAGTTATAGATTTTTATGCTGTTTTGCTAAAATAAGAAAAGCCATGTTTCTTTCTACCTGGAGATAATTAAGGCTCTTTTTACTCACTTAAGTTAATTATCTCCAGGATGGAAAAGAGGGAGTGATTTATGGAAAAGGGAGTGCTTATCCTATAGCCACTGTGATTGGCTACTGTAATGCTTTTGTTCCAGTCTTCCATCTGGTCCCCTAGGGGAGTGTCCACCAGGTGGGAGACCTGCATAAATACCGGGCGGGTAGCCCACAGTAAATCAGATCGTTTTACCCCCTTCATGAAGTCTCGACTCATGTTTGGGGGATTGGGAGTTATAATCGCTTCGTTTCAGCTGGATTTCGGGAGAAGCTGCAAGGATCATCGCTGCACAAATAGAAAGATCCTTTACAGTTGGTTTTTAAAAGCAGGGGTGTATTTACATATAATTTTGGTGTGTAACACAGACGTGTTTGTACGTAGTGTTGAAATTTGAATGCAGGGTGTATATGTGTGTAGTGTTTGTGATTTCTGAGGTGTGTGTGTGTGTGTGTGTGTGTATGTGTGTATGTATGTATATATATATATATATATATATATATATATATATATATATATATATATATATATATATATATATATATATATATATATGTATATGTGTGTGTGTGTGTGTGTGTGTGTGTGTATGTATGTGTATATATATATATATATATATATATATATACGCTGAAATGCGCGCACAGACATGCTGACATACACTGACAGAGAAATGCTGACACACAAAGACATACTGACACAGACATACACTTTAAAACCCACCCTCCAGTTTCCTACCTTTCCTGCTGGTGGCTGAAGGTGTTGGGAGTTGGGGTCTAGCGCTCTCGGCCTGCCCCCCTCCAATCTGACTACTCTTCTTCTTTCCCGTGCGCTCCTCTCTTTGTGGGAGGAAGTGATGCGCGGCCGTCACTTCCTCCCAGCCTGCTGCCAAAAAGCAAGGGGCCCGCTCGCACCGTTAAAGCGCCTCAGTGTGCGACCGGGCCCCTGCTGACAGAAGCCCACCGGGTGGTCCTTTGTGTATGGGCCACCCGGTGGGCCTCCTTAGTGTGCGGATTACCAGCCAGAGAGTTAAAAATAGTTGAAGCCAGCAGGGCTCACGGTGCAGCTGGCCAGTTTGCCCCACGTTAAAGACGGCCCTGCGTATACGCGCTATTATATTGTATATGTTCATGAGTAGTTTATGGTATTGTGTATGATACACATGAATGTGGGCAGTGTATGTGGGCTGCTTGTGGAATTGTGTGTGTGTGTGTGTGTATAAGTCACAGTGTGTGTTTGGTAGTGGGTGGGGGCTGTTTGGGGTATTGCATGTGGGGTTGTGTGCATGTATGTGGATTGTTAGTGGTGTTTCGATTGTGTGCATGTTTGTGTGTGGGCTGTCTATATTATTTGTATGAGGGGAGGGTTATTCTGCATTTGTGTGTATATCTAGCAGTGTGGCTGGTTTCCAGTGGGGACTAGACCGGCCAGGTACATGTCAAGGACAGGAGCTGCAACAGCAACTGTGAGCTGCTCTACTACAGTGTGGATTCCTATTCACAAGTGCTGAGAGGAAGTGATCTGAGATCACTACCTCTACGTGCTGCAATGCATAAATTGAGGATTGTCCTTCACCACCTTTCCGATTAGCAGATATCTGAAGTTTTACTGGGACTCCTGATAGGCCAGAGCCTGTTTGGCTCTAGCAGCCTCGAGTGCCGTGCAAAGACACCTCGAGTGCCGTGCATGGCACTAGTGCCGTAGGTTGCATACCCCTGATCTAGTGCTTCAATGTAAATATTGACACACACTGGACCACTTTGGGATTATATATCCCTGGACCAAAGAAGCAGAGTGACCTAATGGTAGATATTAAACTACAGAACTTACTTAAGGGTATTAAAGAAAGTTGTGTAAACTTGGCACCACGTGTTTTCATAAGGTGAATACAAATAAACCCCATTTCTTTGATATGTGCCCTAAAAACATTTGTGCCATTTTGGTTTTGTGCTGCAAAAATTAAGTTTTGCTAGTAGTCAGAAATGCAAACCCCTGCTCTCCTATATTTACCCTAAACGCAAACACTCAGGAATTGGCACAAGCCAGTACAATAGTATATTTCTATTTGATTCACTACATGGTTTGCAAACTGGGTGGAGAATGAGGTCACATGGCCTAAAATAAGTATAATATTTCAGAAGCCAAAACTACACAAATGTTTGGGGTTTTTTTTTTTTGGACACACATAGTTGGATAGAAAATGGAAAATGTGTAATTACATGGATGCAAAGTGGGTGGAGATTTATATGTATCAGCCCATTGTGTGTGTGTGTGTGTGTGTATGTGTGTGTGTATATATATATATATATATATTATATAAGCAACGGGTCTGATACGAAAGCAGCACAAACCTATAACGTTGTTCAGTTTCCAATTTATTAGATTGATTCACTAATCCATGAAGTTTTTTTTTTTTTGTTTTTTTTGTGTGAGTAAATTGATCCAAGTATGGTAATGTGGCTTACATTTTGCAGGCTGGCCTTCGCTACACTGGATAATGTGTTGACGCCCCATTCAAAAGGTTATTTGTGGATTAACTCTGTGTAAAGAGTGTTAAAGAGCTTGGATCCCAAATCTACATACAGTCTGCTTTGTGCTTCTCACATTTGTAACCTGTATGTTGTCTGTATGAATGAAAGCTATGTAGGTGCAAATTGTGAATTAGGATTGCAATACAGTACTATAATGCTACTGTCTTTTTGTTTAGACAGCTTGGACCCCAGTCTTTTTTATTGAGGACCCTGCATGATCCAGCGCAGGCTGTTCACTACCGTCAGCAGAATGGTTGAAGAGGCCAAGAAACTTGCAGGATATGCGGCTGTAGACAACCACGTGAAGGTATTATGTGCTGTGTACCAAGGGAGGGCCTGGTATTATACACTGCATTGTGTTAAATCAGGTGACATTACTTTGGCAGAGTTTTTATTAGACGTATCAGGGCAGGAATGCTTTGCTAGCCTTCTATTTAACTTGTGCAAAATCGCTCATGTGTATAGTTTAACCGTGTGACTGCCAGGAAGCTAAGTACTGTACATATCTTAACACCAAACCCTTACAGAGGCAGCACATTTAAACAAGGAAAACACATTTTCTGCTTTAACCCCTTAAGGACACATGACGGAAATATTCCGTCATGATTCCCTTTTCTTTTTGAAGTTGTGTCCTTAAGGGGTTAAGATATTTCTTGAGCATGTGAGTAATGGGGATTGACCGATACAATTTTTCCAGAGCCGATACCGATTTATCGTTCGCCTTTTGGGCTCATTGCCAATAATTGGTGCCGATATTCTGTACATTTAAAGTTTTGAAGAAGTAACAAAACTTTCTCCACAAATCTGGCATTAACTGAACATGCTGACAGCGGTCACATTCCTATCATGCTCAGGCATCCAGTACATCTCCGATCAAAGCATGTACAGTGCTGTTACAGATAGGAGTGTGATTGCTGCAACCACACTCCTATCACTCTGTCAGCTAGCCAGTACATTACAGTAGATTATTCGCAGTCTCTCCTTCAGCTGAACTCCGCAAAGAAAGGGGTGACGTGAGGCCACGACATGGTGCTTCATTGGCTGGCGGCTAGAGTTTCTGGATGCAGAAAACAGCGTGTGGTGACTGGGTGTGGTAAGTTATCAGTAAATTACAAGGTCAATACCGATTATTGGTAAAATGTATATAGGCTCTAATAATCGGTGGAATTGATGATTGATCTGTCCCTGATATGTTAGTTAATAGGTAATTGACAAAATGTATCCTTAACCCTTTAAGGATCAAACTTCTGGAATAAAAGGGAATCATGACATGTCAGACATGTCATGTGTCCTTAAGGGGTTAAAGGATTACATCATCCAAAAACACTATTTGGGGATGTAGTGAGTTAAGCTGGTGTAATCCATTATTTTACCTTTTCCCTAAACATTACCTGTATCCTCAGCCCAGGCCTTTTTTCCTCCAGTATTCATGTTATGCATTTGAGAACTGCCATCTTAGCTATTTTCCAGTCGGCCTCTGTTTTCTCCTGCATTTTGACATTATCAAGGTCAAGCTGTTTACAAACCGCATGAGAAAGTTACTGAAGGCATATTTAACTTTTATATTTAAAGGACCACTCTAGGCACCCAGACCACTTCAGCTTAATGAAGTGGTCTGGGTGCCATGTGCAGCTAGGGTTAACCCATTTTTTTATAAACATAGCAGTTTCAGAGAAACTGCTATGTTTACAAATGGGTTAATCCTTCCTCCAAAGCCTCTAGTGGCTGTCTCATTGACAGCCGCTAGAGGCGCTTGCGTGATTCTCACTGTGAAAAAGTACAGTGAGAGCACGCAAGCGTCCATTGGAAAGCATTGTAAATGCTTTCCTATGAGACCGGCTGAATGCGCGCGCAGCCGAATGGGAGGAACGGAGGAGGATCGAAGGAGGAGAGCTCCCCGCCCAGCGCTGGAAAAAAAAAAAAGTCAAGTCATGCATATTTATTTTACAGTAATATTGCCTTTCCCAAATAGCTTTGTGCAGACTGAAGCAGTAACGAATACTGAAATTTGAACAGTATGATACACGGGTGGATTAACCTGGTTTGTGACATGCATTTTATTTTCACTTTTCCTCAGAACAATCAAGCTATTGGCATTGGAAGTGGCTCTACGATAGTCCATGCAGTAAAGCGACTAGGTACGGTTTAAACAAACCCTGTTTTCAGGTTGTGTGCTTTATTTTTTTTTTTTATTTTTTTTATTTTTTTATTTTTTTTTTTTATTTTTTTTTTTTTAAAATAAATTTTTGACTGGTATGAAATGTGATGGATTAAACCAAGTTTGACTTGGCAGCTCCTTTTGCATCCACACGGATTTATTGTCCAGTGTGTATATATAATTTCAAAATCTTGTTGTAAGGGTCCTATACCACCAGTAAATTTATTACTCTAAATAGCGACTAACCCCTAACAGGAAAAAAAAATGTAGCACTGGAAATCAAAAAAATTGATAAATTGTTTTTGCATTGCACCGTGGATTTACAGAAATGAAACCAGATTGTGAGAAGAAAGCCGACCCTAGAGCAGGGGTAGGCAACCTATGGCACATGTGCCATGCACGGCACTCTAGTAGTCTTTGCACGGCACTCAAGGCTGCTAAAGCCAAATAGGCTCTGGCCTATCAGGAGTTCCAGTGAAACTTCAGATATCTGCTAATACGAAAAGGTGGTAAAGGGCAATCCTCAATTTATACATTGCAGCACATAGAGGAAGTGATATCAGATCACTTCCTCCCAGCACTTGTGAATAGGAATCCACACTGGAGTAGAGTGACCCGCAGCTGCTCTAGCCTGGTCCTCACTGGATCCCAGGGAAGCCACCCACACTGCTAGATATACACAGAAATGCAGAATAACTCTCCCCTCATACAAATAATACGAACAGCCCACACACAATCCGCACAAACTTAACACCACTAACAATCCACATACATGCACACAACCCCACATGCAGCCTTATATGCAATACCCCAAACTGCCCAGCACAAACACACACACTACCAAACACACAATGTGACATATCCATCCACACACAACTCTACAAGCAGCCCCCATACACAGCCCACGTTCATAGGAATCATACACAATACCACAAACTACTAATGAACATATACAATATAAAAGCTCATATACGCACAAAGCAACTACAGTATAAATAACACAAGCGGAATACGGCAACATACACACCTCCATAAAAACTGTGCGGAACATCACAGTGCTGCTAAAAGGTTGCCTACCCCTGCCCTAGAGAATCACCAATCCAAAGCAAAGCCTTTAAATGGGTAAAGGTTCCAGAAGAGTTGTGGTAGCACATGTTTTATTAATATGGAAACTGGAATATTTGTCAAGAAATTCTGAGATGGGAATGTTGGGGTCAAGAAGGTAGTGGGAGAAGCCATGATCAGTCTGAGAGCAGAGGTCAGGGCATTCAACAAAGATTTGTAGTTTTGAGAAACAAGACAAGGATCAGAAATCTGGGATTTCAGTGAAGCAGAAGGTAGGAACTGCAAGTGGGCTGCAGAGTAACCAAGAGCAGTGCTAAATGTGCTCTTGGGTTATTTAGGCAGAGACTGTCTAAAGCGTGTGTATGCCACAAGAAAATACCTCTGATGCTTCAGTGAAGCTAATTTGGCCTCAATTATGGATACATCATGGTCTGGCATCATTCCTGTGCATTGTCAGGCATGATTAACACATGCGTAGTGACTGATGCTTGATGTCGGTACTGCCTCAGAGTGACTCTGGAGACTCCCACACTACTGGGCACCTTGAGGATGCTGAAAACTAGGTATGGTAAGTCCTCTGGGGATATGTGACAATGTAGCAAAGGATTAAATATCTGTCAGAGATCACCCAGCAATGAAAGTTTTCAATCAAGAAATGTAATCTTCGAATTGTTCTCATGTTAGATGCAAGATTAATATAACACGTGATCTGGATAGCAGAGCAATAAAACATCCACAAGAACTTTAAGATAAAGCGATACTGTGAAATAAGTGACTTATTCCTATTAAGGAAAATAAGTTTCAAATTATGTTAGGCTGAATGAGTAAGATGCAGGATTGCTTTGTTATAAAAGGATAACTACATTTCTTATTTACTAGCTTAAAAGGCTGCAGTTGTATAGCTTGTTAAATTATTTTCAAAGACTTCTGGATAGACAGACTGGTAACAGAAATTAATAGCAATATTCGCTCCAAGCATTATAACCGTAGTGGGCACATAAGGGACCCAGGTAAGTTGTCAATCACCTCTTAACTGTTTGACAACTTACAATGGAAGGGGGCCAGAGCCATAGTTTTTCTATTGCTTTAACCTTTTATCCTTTTTCTAATTAGAGGAAAGCCTCATACCGACTTTGTTTCATTCAGGAGAATGTTTACCTTACAATGCTTCTTGTTTGAAGATTCTTCCCCTGGCAAAAAATCTTGGGCACCTTTTTATAAATTTCACTTGTGTGTTTTTGTGTTTTTTTTTGTGTTTTTTTTTTTTTGTTCCGTTCCTTGCCGGTCCAAAGCCATAATTATAAAAATGTACATAGAGGTTGAATTCTGTACAATGTCGGTTATGCACGTCCCTCCTCTGCTTTTAATAGCTGTCGTCCTTTTTTCCTTGGCTTACCTAGACCGTTCTCTAACATGTACATTACAGCAGAATCACTACTGAGAAATGCATGTCCAGGGTGTTCCCCTAAATCCCTTGTATATATTCCTTTATATAATTTGAATCCAGAATTGATTTCCTTTTGGGTTGAGCACCCCACCCATCCACCTTAGGCACTGCGTTGGAAAGTCTAAATTTGAGGAGAATCTCTGCAGTTGGCATGTTTGTCTCCCATGTTGAAATTAGTGTAGGACCCACCAATATTGGGGGTTCTGTAAAAACTGTTACTCTCTTGAATAAACTTTTAGATCTCTATACAAAATGTTTTCAGTCTCCATATTGTATTATGCCTTTAGTTAATAGTCCTTTCTTCAGCAATATATCCAACAATTGTCATTCTGTAAGCTCACGCAGAGTATTCCTTTATTTTGTAAATGTGCATGATTTCTACATGTGTAGTGTTGTCATTTCCTTCCCAAACTCATTGCAGCAAAACTCACGAGAGTCAGAATTCATGCTAGCTTGTACTATTAAAGTGTTATGGAAAAAGCAGATTTACAGTTACTCTCCTGCTACTTTTGGGTGAACATTGTAATCCTCTTCTGGGGCTGCAGCGAAGTACTGGAAAGTTCAAATTGTGGGCTAAGTTATTATTAAATGGGATAAACTTACTAAACTCTGCAAGGTCCAGCACGGTGTCTCCAACCAGCTCTGAACTGAGGCACCGGTCCTACAGGATGTAAAGGGATTTTGATGGTAAGGTATGTCTTTATACTATGTAACCGGGTTGATGTTCCAGGAGGGATAAGCCAAATGGCAAATGATTTAGGTAAACTAGAAAAATGGTCAGAGTTGTGACAACTGACATTTAATGTGTATAAATGCAAGATAATGCATCTTGGACGTAAAAACCCAAGGGCAGAGTACAGAATATTTGATAGAGTCCTAACCTCAATATATGAGGAAAGGGATTTAGGGGTGATTATTTCTGATGACTTAAAGGTAGGCAGACAATGTAATAGAGCAGCAGGAAATGCTAGCAGAATGCTTGGTTGTATAGGGAGAGGTATTAGCAGTAGAAAGAGGGAAGTGCTCATGCCATTGTACAGAACACTGGTGAGACCTCACTTGGAGTATTGTACACAGTACTGGAGACCGTATCTTCAGAAGGATATTGATACCTTAGAGAGGGTTCAGAGAAGGGCTACTAAACTGGTTCATGGATTGCGGGATAAAACTTACCAGGAAAGGTTAAAGGATCTTAACATGTATAGCTTGGAGGAAAGACGAGACAGGGGGGATATGATAGAAACATTTAAATATATAAAGGGAATCAACACAGTAAAGGAGGAGACTATATTTAAAAGAAGGAGAACTACCACAACAAGAGGACATAGTCTTAAATTAGAGAGACAAAGTTTTAAAAATAATATAAGGAAGAATTACTTTACTGAGAGGGTAGTGGATGCATGGAATAGCCTTCCAGCTGAAGTGGTAGAGGTTAACACAGTAAAGGAGTTTAAGCATGCGTGGGATAGGCATAAGGCTATCCTAACTATAAGATAAGACTAGGGACTGATGAAAGTATTTAGAAAATTGGGCAGACTAGATGGGCCGAATGGTTCTTATCTGCCGTCACATTCTATGTTTCTAACTTCATGTTTTATAGACGTTTTCCCCATTGCCTTCTATGTAATCAATGCTTACAAGAGAGAAACTCATGTCATCTTGTACAATCTAGTCTGTAATCCTCATCTGTAAATACCTTGATATAGGGGTCCTTAATATTAAGCAGAATGCAGAATTCCAGGATTATTATCCATGCAGATCTGCACTTTATCAGCCACTTAAAATGCTAGAATTATATCACATATAGCACTTAAATAATGTGAGTTACTAGATTTGGTATCTTGTTTTACCTTCAAGCTAAAACATGCAGAGTTTGTTACCAATCAGGTCAGCATTGTACTATATATATAGAGAGAGAGGCAACAACACACGTGTGACCCATATCACATCTATAAAACTAACGGGATATCTGTTACTACAGTAACAAAATAATTATATGGCAGAAATTCTAATCATTCAAACTCTGATTAGAGAAGGACACACTAACCAAAACTATTTGAACTATAAAAACATAATGCCATTCATAACCAGCAACACTAGAGGGTGCCATACTTTTAATATTTGTATTAGTAGTGATCAATACAACTACATTTTAAATGTAATCGATTTACTGTCAGACTTGCCACCAGGATGGGTATATTTAGCTGTTGTCTATTTAACTGTGATGGTGTTATAGATGGTAATCAGGGGACACTTAAAAGCCTGAAAGCTTAGCGTGCTTGTTCGGCATACATTTTACCATTGAATGGTGGTCATTTTATCCATCTTGGAAGGATAGTAGGTTGAAATGATCCTGCAGAAAGTTGAATTTTGAAGAAGTCTGTCAAAATGTCCATTTGAAATCATTTTTAATAATGTGACTGCCTTTGCACTAGGTGTAAATGCCTACTCTGTTTGCATAGTGCTTTTGTTATCTGTAATGTTTTTAAATAGTGTTTTTTGTTTTGTACACTAGATGTCACTGTTTTTTCACATTTTACACCTATAATGATAAATTCTTTGACTGACCGGGTTCTTCAGTAGACTTTGAATTTTAGCAAATTAAATCCGATTTGGAAACCTCCTCTTTGTCAAAATGTGTTTTTTTTTTTTTTTTGTTTGTTTTTTTTTTCTCTTCCATTTTGCAATTCAGTATTGGTTTTCTAAAATGCAATACTTTTTTTGTTTTTTTTGCAATATGCATATATATTTATATTCTAGGTTATCATGTATTATACATTATCACCTGATTTCATTTTAACATTATTCATATATGACTCTTGCGTGTTAAAAATTAACTTTGTTTAGGTATGTGAATTTTTATTTACTGTTTCTGTACCTTTGATGCAGTTATTTCATTAATCAGACTGTCCTGTACATCTTACCTTTTTGCTTTCAAAGGAACACTGTTTATAATATCACTCCTCCTCAACATTGGTGCATTACCCATGCCTCACATAAGTACATTACCCATTGAACTGTTATGTTACACAGAACCGCCATAAAATGCCTTCTACGGGGAAATGTATTGAATGCTGTCCATTGTCCTAATTTCTCCTTATTAAAGGAATTGCACAAGTGCATGATAAAATGCATTAACTGGTGTTGGTTGTAACTAAAATAGTTTGTCTTACACTTACAGCTGAAAGGGTAAAGGAAGAAAATTTGAATGTTTTCTGTGTCCCCACATCTTTCCAGGTGACGTTACATTGATATTTTATTTGTTTGTTTTTTTGTGTTTTTTCGGCACCACTGTTCTTTATGGTAACAATCAAATTGACTGTAAACTTGTGCTCATTATTGCCATTTCCTGTGTCCCACTTAAAGTGGCACTCCATAAGCCCCAACACAAAGTTAGCTTAATGAAGCAGTGATGGTGTGTAGATCATGTACCTGCAGTCTCACTGCTGAGTTCTCTGCCATTTAGAGTGTCCCTTTAAGACCACATAGCAGCATTAAAAAAAACAAAAATGACTCAAGCTTCTAGTCTCCTTATTTTTGAGAGCCTTACAATGTCAAATGACTTCTACAAAAAAGAATTCTAAAAACCAAATTTGAATTTGTATTAATTTGCTGCATTGTATGTTCTGTTCTTTCTTTCTGCTTAATCCATCTGTGATAAATCCCTTTAGAAATTTTGATGTGGTTATGTGTTAATCAAAACCTCAAACATGGCATTGATTTTGTTGCCCAGGCACGGCAGCTGATCATTGAGAATGACTTAACTCTGACTGACCTGGACCGGCATCCGGAGGTAAGGCACAGATATGCATATCCTTTGACGGTACAGCATGCACCAGAAACCTATTCTAAATGCTGTTCTATTTCTCTGCATTGGCGAAGTGTATATACCCATAGTACCAATTCCAGATGTTTTCGTCAGTTTTTTTTCAGCCTCCCTTTTTGGGAAATGTCTCACCCCAGAATGAGTTGATTACCAGTTTCTCAAAACTATGAAAAACTGTGAAATGTCTCCAATGCAGCAGTTTAGATTTTGTTCCTATTCCAAAATGCCTTGATGCACTGCTCAATGACTGGCCTAAAACAATCATCACAATCTGGTTTGTAAAGCGTATCAAATTGTCATCTTCATCTTTTTACTGGTAAGAAGTCTTAGTCCACTTTATAAGATAATTGAAGTAATGATGCTGCTGAAACCATCTTATTTAGCAGTTTCCCTGGAGAGCAAAGACCAATCATTTTGGAGTGTTGTGTACTAAACCATGAGAATGTCCAGACTTTGGACTGTAGGTTTACTGGATTATCCTGCCCTGACAGGGTTAAATTTTTTTTAATATATATATATATTTTTTAATTTTTATTGGACTACGTCCTGTATTAGTGGTTATAACTGGTAGTGGTTATGGTGCTGAGTGTTCATTTAATTATTGTTGCATTATCCTTTGTTACAATTACTTATGTAGACTAAATTTTATTTTTTTATTATTTGTGTTGCTTTGATTTTTTTTATTTTTTTATTTATTGATTTATTTTTTTATGAACCTGAATCAATTCTTTTTTAATTTTTCTCTTTTTTTTATTTTGCATAACTGTTCCTCTTTATACAGCTTGATGTAGCCATTGATGGAGCAGACGAAGTGGACTCTGACCTCAACCTAATCAAAGGGGGAGGGTACAGTATAAACATGATTTTTTATTTTTTATTTTTTTATGTCACTAAAAGTATATTTTTGTTTTATAACCCCGGCCACATGAGTTGGATTCTAATTCTGATAAAACTTTTTAATAACATTTTCATCGTAATCCTTCATTTTTTAATTGATGAATTTGCTAGAAGTTTAGCCAAAAGGTGAGGATTCAGTTTTATTATTGAATTTGGATGGTGTGTACAATGTGATTGGCAGTGAATTTGAGATTAAAATGTAATCCATGCCATGCAGTGTGCATGGGTATGTATAATCAAATCATCATTTTAACCCCCAATCACCCTAAATGGAGATATTACTGTGCCATATGTCTGATTGTAGCACTAATACAGTGTTTTTCGTTTCTGGTTTTAGCGGCTGTTTAACACAGGAAAAAATAGTTGCTGCTTGTGCAAAATCGTTCATTGTGGTTGCAGATTTTAGGTAAGGGGCGTAGTTTTCTTCTTCTTTTGGAAGTGTTGCAATGGCAACATGAGGAATGTGTCACTCATAAATGAATAAATATGGCACTGTGGGATGGATGTAGGTGGATGCTTAATCTGTATTTTGTGTTATATATATATTTTTTTTATATATAGCAATCTGGGAATTAAAAAAATGAAAAAATTTGTTTTGGATTGCCAAACCCACCATGATGTGATGGACACAACACTAGGTTGTGCGCTCATGACTTACTTTTGTGTATACTCTTAACTAGTTAATCACCAATATGTTTAAACTCCACCTGAGATCAAATTGAGGCTCAGTTGTACATCGAAGTAAAAAACTTAGACCCCAGTGTTCCCACACACTCTAGTCACTAACCCAAGGAGAATGCTGAATAAAGATCTCCTGCTTTAATCCAAAATGGTCATCCAGTCAGATTGGGAAATAGAACATGGCATCTTTTAAAATTATTATTCCTGAATTATTGCTTCTTGTGTATCCTGTTATGGCACAAAATTAGCAGTTCATAAACTTTAGAATCTTTGTGAAATAATAGCTAAAATTCCAACCAAGTCAAAAGATAGGGTCTACTTTGTCTCAGTATTTTTCCAACACTCGACGACAAAGGAATAGTCAAGCCCTCAGTTATCAATAGTGAAGGAGAAAATGCTCTTTCTTTTGAGGATCCCGCAATCTTGCAAATTCCTCCATAGACCTTTTGTGTTGTACTCTTGTGCACGTGTGAGTTTAGCACGGACGTTGACTCCTGGCAGCTAAAGCACCGTGAGCTGAAGAGTACCGGATGGAAGATCATCGCGGCAGCTGAGAGATGTGCAGGTAAAGACAGGCTTACCCTCCCCTGGACCAACTCTCAGCGGCAATGTCACCGATGGGGGGGAGACTACTAATCATACAAAGACCCCAGCTGGTAACAGAGCCACTTTAAATCCCTTGTCATGGGAATATAAGATGCCTGGGTATTGCTGGTTTGGTCAACATGGCAGCTTACAACTTCATCATTCATTATAACCCGGTGATAAATTTATATTTGTTTGTGTACACCAGCAGCAATCTTTAGGAGCTTGTTATATTGTGTATTTCCTGTAGGTTTTTTTTATATTTTTTTTTATTTACATATTTTTTTTTTCTATATTTAATATTCTTAATTTGTGTCTCCTCCTCCTCCTTTATTAATAGAAAAGATTCCAAGAATTTGGGGGAGCAGTGGAAAAAGGGCATTCCTATTGAAGTTATCCCAATGGCTTACATGCCAGTGTCCAAAGCTTTACAAGGTCAATTTGGTGGTGTTGCTGAGCTGAGGATGGCTATTAGCAAAGCTGTAAGTTATTTTCGTCACATACTGGGTAATGTTTCTCTAACTTGCAAAATTCGGAACTTACCCAAGTTCGTAACACAGATAAAATCTAAATAGGTCTAACTTTTACTGATTTCCTGTGCTACTTTGTTTTTATTTCTCATCAATATTCGTTTGTGTAAAACATGCCTTACTGATTGCAATCATACATAATGTGAGAATTAAAAGTAATATCCAGTGACGGACACAATCTTGTATTTGCAGCACTTGTTTCACCAACTTCCCATAGTATATCATGGCTTTGTTCTTTGTAGACTATTTTTAGATCTAAAAAAAAATGGAGTTCTTTAACAGAACACTCCAAGCATCAGAACCCCTCCAATTGTAAGGAGTCAATACGTTTCTGATCTGGGCACTGTCCCCTGCCTCCTTAACTAATCTGGAGAGCCAGAACTTCCCTAAGCTCTCCTGAACCATGCCTGCAATGCTTGGTGCTTGGAGTGTTTCATTAAGCATATTACTGATAGTTCATTTACTTAGCTTCTATCTGTACTTGCTGCCTATAATGTTTGTGAATGGCTAAAACACTAGATATTTTTTTTTTTTTCTTCTTTTATTGTAAAACAGTGGTATACAATTCGTGCTATTTATCGGTAGTTCATGTCTTCATGAAATGCTATAATTTGTCAGACTGCCATTGCTCTGCTTCTCGGTTACAATCCCCTCTTTATATCTTGTTCATTGCTTGGACAATTAAAACCCTTCCCATCTTCATGCATGTTTTGTGCTCTGTTTGAGCAACCAAACACTCATATGATGAATAACGGACATTCTCTGATGTCCCATCTCCAACCCATAGACTGTGACAGGGATAATTAAGCCATGTTATGCTTTATGAAAACTCTTCTGTGTTATGTTGCCTGGTTCACTGTATTTTTTTTTCATCTTGTGTGCAATAAATCCATAGTTATGGAAAGAGAAAAGAAAAGGGTTCTTTGAGGGATTCCCTTATAGGGTTGCTGCCCATATATTAGCTAGCGCTTACTCATTGTTTTATCTTGTTTAAATCCATAGTTATGTCTTCCATTCTTAAAAATAAATAAAAGTATTTGCATTGATGTAACTGGTCTCTTTTTATTTTATGTATTTATTTTTTCTGTATGTGTTCAGGGTCCAGTGGTTACAGATAATGGCAATTTTCTCCTGGACTGGAAGTTTGATAAGGTTCACGACTGGAACACTATCAACACAGCAATCAAAATGATACCAGGTATATCTTAAGCTCACTTTTGCAATGTGCTTGTTCTTTACTTCCCCTTTTTCAGTTCGGTGCACCCATGTATGTTCTATATTGTTTTATGAAGGATAGGCATTCTTATTGTACCCTAAAAGTAGGCATATCAATATTGACATGACTTGAAAAAAGGAAACCACTACACAAAAGTGCATATCTGTAGAAAGTAATTTTTATTTTATAATTTTTCCCCCCCCATGTTACAGCAGTACTCCCTTGTATAGACCTTCTTTTTTATTTTTTTTATTATTTTTTTAAACAAATTTTAGAGAATTAATGTAAAAATACAGATATGCGCTCTCCTTGCTAGACTCCCGACCCGGGACACAATGCACCAACAGCCTACCGACATCCACCATCACGATGCCTCATATCCCCTCCCCCACCCCCGTGAACGCCTCAGGGTATTTCAGCCGTGCTAGGCTCCAGTTATGGCCAACACGACTATCGACACTTACGAAACCTCTTTGACACCACAACCCTCACTTACCCCCGACGTTCCTTGGACGTCTTAACCCCACCGCGAGCACCAAACTGCAGACACCCACCCAACAGGAGCTCCCACGGGGACTTGAGTGTCCCACTGCAGACACAGCCACCTATGACTTACCCAACCAGGGGTATCATACGCGCACGGATGGAGCACTCCATGATGACCTGAATGACACTCAGGGGTAGGCAATAGAGAGGGGGACCACGATCCCATGCTATTCATGGCTCTGGGGGGGAAACTCTCCGACCTATTGGCTAAGACCAACGTTTGACCACACACCATACACACAACTAGTCAGTCCACACAGAAACTTAACATTATTTGCTAGCATCACACTACTAACTACATCACCATAAAACAAAAATGTGCCCTGTTATGCATGCTCCAACCTTGATGTTATATGTTATTTGAATCGCCGGCAATTGCTATTGGGGCACTGCCAGCAAATATGTACAGTTTATTCTATGCACCAAAAAAAAAAGAAAATACAGATTTGCGGATTTCTTTATGGAGATGTTTTCACTATTTAACTTACTGAGTCTGTGTTTCTTTTGGGACTAGATCTCAGCCACAAATTTCACAACACCCTCATTGTGGCATACTGTTTTTAAAAGACAACTTACATTGTTTCATATGAGGCATTTTGAGTGTTTTTCACTTGAACATTTAATCACAATTGGCTGTAAACTTAAGTGCACCAATACCCTACATGTATACCCTTTGCCAAGTGTTTAAGGAACTTAAAGCATATCTACTAAATGTTTGAAACTGGCATCCAAGCATTACGCTAACGAGGGGAGGCAGGGACTTCGTATTGCCCCCATCCATGACCAGTTCCTGGAGGTTATTAAAATAAACGAAAACAGAAAGAAGGGGCAGTATCCTAATGGACTATTGTAATATACAGGGTTTACCTTGTTCACCCCAGCACCCACCCAATGCCAGCAGGTGGGGGGCCATAACTATAATATTCAGAGGGGGTGGTGGTGGGCCAGCTAATGTTCTCCTCTTGGCCACCACCACCAACACAAGTGAATGATAATGTGTGATTGCTGCATGCGTTTGGTTCTGCATTTTAACAAAAATGGTGCTTTGTGAATAATTTGAATCCAAAAAAAGTATAGCGAAAGCATGGATTTGGGTCATTGCTGCAGATTTGCCAGAGTCCAACTGAATTCCAACCATATTTAGAATAAGGGATATCCGAGTCAGTCACTGATATGCTAAGAGTGTTTAGCTTTAGATTACCGTGGGAGCCATTCTTTGAGGTAGGGGGAGTTCCTTTCATGGAAGCCCCCCACCTAGCTACAGATGAATACGTACTGATTGCTGAATATATAGCTCTCCCACCACAATATATAAATATGTTATAAAAAAATCACTTTTTTTTTTTTTTTTACTTCCGTGATGTATTTTTATATAATTTTTTTTTTCCCCTTTTTCCACAAACACTTCCTTGCATGTTACGTTTAATCAAGATATTATTGTTCCTCTATTCCACCCTTCACTACATCTGCGTGACCACTAGATGGAAGCAATCTCCTTAAAGTGTTCTGTTCTATTATTCACAGCAGTCAAACATTTGAGACTGTTGGGGTTGCTGTAACTCTAATGTTGCTAGAACATGCAGATCATGTGCAATATATTTTTTTGGAATGTGTGTTTATCTTGTGTTTAAATATATTCGACAGGTTTCAAATATAAATTAAGAATATTGGCTTAATCATAGTGTGTCTGTACAGTAATGTTTCTGGTGGCAAATATCATTACAGCATGAAGTGAAGCATTATACTCGCAACACTCAGACACTGGATTAGATTAATTGCCATCACATTCATACAGGCTTCCTTACAGTATCAAGCTAATGGCAGCATTTAATCCCTTAAGGACACATGGCGTGTGACATGTCATGATTCCCTTTTATTCCAGACGTTTAGTCCTTAAGGGGTTAAAGGACACTATAGGCCCCCAGACCACTTCATCTTATTGAACTGGTCTGGGTGCAGTGTACCTGTCCTGCAATATGAAGCCTTGCACTTTTAGAGAAACTGCAATGTTTACCTTGCAGGGTTACGACTGCTTCTAGTTGTCTCACAACTGGCCACTAGAGGCGCTTCCTGCAAGTTCAGATCTTGCATGTGAGGTTGTAGGTGTCTGGAGGTGTGGGAAGCTGTTGTGGGGCTGTTTTTGGTTAAGAGGTTGCTTGTGGCCCCACAACAGCTTCTTCCGCCCCCCAGTCACCTACAACCTCACCGTACATACAAAATGTGGGGGTGTGTGGTGGTGTTGGGTGGGTATGTCCTAGGCGGTGTTGCATAGGGGCAGTATATTCTGACCACTTCCCATGTGAAAAGAATAATCCCTATGAAAGTTTTTTCCTTTTTGACTGGTGACCATTTCCTTTTAATTGTGGAGATAGAGATATATTTATTTATTATTATTATTATTATTATTATTATTAAATATATATATATATATATATATATATATTTTTTTTTTTTTTTTGGGTAAAAATTTAGTCTGAACTGCAATAATCACTCAGTGGCATCTCTTCTAGACACACTTTTCTAATAGTAGATAGTGTCCCCTTTGCCCATCACATCCTGATTTGTGGTATCAATTCAAGTTGCTGCAGATGTGTTCACTGCATATTCAAGGAACTGCTTTGGATTGAGACCTGGAAGCTATGAAATCCACTAAACTCAATGTTAAATTAATTGAAGCAACTTAGAGATTACTGGTGCTTTTTGACGTGACCAGTTATCACGCTGGAACAAGCCATTAGAAGGAGTACACTGGTCATTAAGGGATCCACATGGTCATCAGCAAAACATGGAACATTTAAACAATATTTATTTGGTATTAAAGGAATACTCCCAAGTACCAAACCTACTATAGTGCACTGACTCGGGCAATCCTCCCATTATAAATAGTCAAATTATTTTTATAATGGTTTGAGATCTGATCTGGGGTTCACTAACTGGACTAGCTTATTGGCCTGAGAGTGTCCACTGACCCTTCTCAACCAGTGAGCTAAGCCCAGAGAGGAGTGCCCAGAGGACACCATTTTAGAAGTCAAAGCATTATAGAAATCATTTAAGGTGCCTATGTGCCAAGAAAATATTTAATTACACCACCAGCTTTGGCAGTTGACCCACACCCACCGCAGGAAGACACAAGGACTGTTGCGTTTTTTTGTTTTGTTTTTGTTACTCCAGACTCTACCATTTGCATCTTGCATTAGAAATAGAGATTCAACCAGATTACATGTTTCCAGTTTTCCTTCGGTTGTTGTAACCCATCCATTTCAAGATTTACAGATGATCAGCCATTGCGGAGATAAACTATCACATCCAGCACTAATAATACAATCATGGTCAAAGTTGTTTAAATCAAAAGGGTGGAGCTAACGCATGAAACTAAACCGTCGCCATTTCTTTGAGCTCCTCACGGGCCCAACAAAATCCACCTAATATCTCCTACCGGACTTGCCATCAAGCTTCGAAACCACGAAAACTACACACAGGCCACTTTACCGCATCGACTGATGCCTTTTCAGTACACACAGAGGAAAAATAAACAGAGGTGCAAATCTCGGGCCTAATGCTACCCGACACCTCAAGGCCTAGACTCGCTCCTTGACTCCATCAGAGCGCACACTCCAAACATCCCGGAGCAGCTCTGGTCGCCACTGCTGCCCGACACTCCAACTATGAAACATTATACACCGAAACCCGACAGGGACATAGGTGCTATGCAGCCTCGAAGACTCCAACAGCAGAGGTCGACCACGCCACAGCGTTCCCACCCTCGGGGACAGAGAGCAGGGACACGGAAACCAGGCAAACACAACACCATGAGCCATCCCAAAGCTTACAGCAGGCGGACAGCATGGCACCGACCACTAAAGGTGACCTCAAACTACTACTCGCAGACCTCCATAAAATAGCAGCCAACCTTGCACTTGTACACACGGAAATTCATGCAAACACAGACCGCATAAAGGCCATGGAGGAAAGCATCCTGGATGTCCATACTGAGGTGTCCCACCTTAAGAGCCCAGTACAGCAGCTCAATACCCTCCACCAGGCACTCGCACACTGGCTGACAACCCTTGAAGATCAGCTACGGCAGAACAACATTAAAATCCGAGGCATACCAGTGGCGGTAGGAGCTGAAGAACTCCCGCATTATACCCAGAGGCTGTTAGCCGCCATACTCCCACCAGCGGTTGGGGAAAAAAGTCACACTAGACTATTCCGAATCACCAGCATGGCCAAGCCCTCCAATCCTGAGCCACGGGATGTGATTGTCCTCTGCACCTCTGCGAATGACAAAGGCCATATTATGGCGACAGTACAAGGTAAAACTCCACTGCAGTTTGAGGACTCCTCATTAAATTTCTTTTTTAAGACCTAACTAGGGCAATGCTTCAGTGGCGCATACAAATGGGCCCCATCACGACTCTCCTCCGGTCAAAGGAGTGCCATACCGCTGGGGAATGCAGGGCACCTTACTCGTAACCCAGAACGGAACTACCCACACACACCACATTCACTGAGGCGCCAACACTCTACGCAGCCCTCTGGATAGAAGCACCTGACCTCAGCATCCCTGGAAGTACCACGAACGGTGGTCCCCTTTTGTGCCATGACATGGGAGCCTCTCATAAACAGAGACTTGACTGTGGGAAAAAATCCAGTTAGAACCCACTGACACAGCCACGGGACTTAGCCATAGATAACCTTATTGTATATTTTTTGTTTTCGCGATCTACATATTCAGTTTCTCCCTACCACTGAGTAGAACAGAGTTATCAAAGTTATTGAGGCCCAGTAGCCCCTGATATTGCGTATCTGATTACCTTAGGGACTAACCATGTAAGTGTATATGATGTAATCTGCCATATGTTATTTATGTTGGTTGTATTGGTATATTTGGCCATGACCATATTTAAAAAAACAACAAAAAAAATTTTTTAAGAGCTATGAAGAAACGCTGAGTTGCGAATGGATTAGAGGTGCTTTCGGTCGGATAAGATGGACTAGTGAGGACTCTAGTGTAGACTAGGAATGATTTTAGATGTAAAGTTGGAAATAAAGAATGTGATTAGTAGAAGTAATATTACTAATGCAATTTGAATTTCAATGTTGAGAAACTATATTGTTTCTCATTTTAGAGATGACTTCATCAGTAGTAGACCGGGTGTAAGTGATATGAAGAAAGCTAGGGTAAAAACAATCAGGAGAGGAAAGTATTTTACTACAAGCAAAATGGGATAATTTAGGTAAACGGCTGTAGCAAGCACCATCGAACCCTTCTAATGCTTAATTCAGTGGAAGTTCTAAGAATGGTATGAGCATGAATTCAATTTTGAAAACATTAGGGTATGGTTAGAATCACTTGTAGTATACACTTTTGAAAAACGTAGAATAATCCACAGGGGAAAAGGGTAGAACTCTCCTGACATTATAGTATCTCTAATATGATGTTGTTGGCAGCCCTTGTATCCATGGTTAACATGCACGGTTCCGCATTCTCTAAATCACAAGCTGATTGTGTTTTCTAGTTTTATTTTATTACAACACAATCACAAAAACATAACGATTGTTGCAAACGGTTATATTTACCTCCATTACTGGTGGAAGGATTCCAAATACGATCCCTGTGACGGACGAGAAGGAAAGTTAAAAGTTGAAATTAATATAGTATAAGTAACAATAGTCGTAACAAGCAAGACATTATTTTCACATTCTGTCATGCACTGTAGTATTTGAATATATCATTTTACTTTATGGAATAATGGAAGTTTTTATCTGTTATTTTTAAGTATTACAGTGGGCAAAACGGCACATTTTAAAAGCACGATTTGTGTGATACATTGACTCTTGCATCAAAACATGGCATTCGGTCTTGACGATAAGGATGTAGTTCTAAAGAACGCTGGCATTGCTAATGTGGGAGGGGAACGTTGTCATGCAGGAGCTAAACAAATCAGTCAGAACACTCATCGGTTTCTACGGGGACTTTCGAAATTCTGACTTTATCCTGTAGATCATCTCCCCAAATCCCCTTCTCCAGCAAACGTTTGAGTGGAGCAATAGTTTCTGGAAGTTGTAATTCCCCTCCTCAACCTTTAATGTAGGATCACTTTTTATAGCTGGACTACTAATACTACTATTGGTACTTCCTGATTACCTGAACAACTTTTTTATTGGAGAAACACTGCAGACTGGAATGGAACTGTAACCTCCATTGCCTACCGTAATCAGCCAGGGAGAAGTATTTTAGGCCACATGCCATTAAATGCATAATATATATTTTAATGTCTAAAATGTCCTTCTACTCTGGTGTCCTTTTCACATTTTGTGGGATACCGAATTTTTGTTTTTTAAATTGTTTAAAAATAAAAAATTAAATGCATTTATTTTTGCTAATAGTTTGTACACAAGTGCTGGCAAAATGAAGTCCTACGAAATAGGTTTGTTTATTGTGATTTTGTCTGTTCTGCTTTTAAACTACAAATATCTCACTTGTGATTGCTGTGATCTGGAAATCCTTGGAACAGAGCTGTTACCAACACTGCCTGCATCTATTTGGCATTTCTCACCATGTAATAAGCGATTGCCTAGAAGTGCTGTAGAGTTGCTGATTATTCAAAGTGTTCCAGAGTTATAATAGACATTTTGCCAATGATCAAACTGTAAACAGCCGTACTGTGATCACTTGCATGCATTGCGGAATCACTGGGAGGGATGGACCAGATTTTTGTTTTTGTGAAAGGGGTTAAGATCCCGCAGTGGAGCTAAACCAATCAATCCATTCATACAGTCATGTGCAAATCTCTAACAAACGGTAAGAGAGCACTTAATCAGAGGGTACATGGACCCCAATTGTGATTAAAAGCAATGAAATTAAAAAAAGCACTTTTTTGGTCCAGCACAGCCTCAGATAAAAGTTCTTTTTTTGGTGCCCATGGCAAATGGGTTTTTGTTTTTAGCACATAATAATGGAATAGCTTTAATCAGACTCTATGCTGAACCATCCAATTTGTTTTTATTTATGCATTTTATACATTAATATCGTTCTGATTTTTGACACATCAGCCATTGGAAGGCATTCTGTCATTCTCTGATGTAATACACTATAGTCTAGTAATGACCAGTCATCAAAGAATATTTGCTGTGTGTAGTCTGCTTATGTGTCACAAAAACAGGTGCAGGTCAAACGTTGGATATAGTCATCCTGCTGCTTCTGTTTCAATGTCCTCAGCTGAGATTAAACTCATTCTAGTTTCTCTGTGTCAGTAACTGATTCATTGTTTCTTGGAATGGATTGTAAAAATTTTTTTATTTTTTTATTTTTATTATTTCTATGTAGTTTTCTGTTAAGCAGGGTACTTTTTACTAAAAGACCCAACTAAAAACATTGCCCATATACTCCCACTACTCATGGGCAGCAATGGCCCATGAATCAGCCCAAATACATAGAACAGAAATCCAAAAGAGTTACCTGTACACTTTCCCAAACATTTAAATAGCTAGTGGGATTTTTATTTTTGGTATCACATCAATGGCTGTTTAAGTGTAAGCACAGGTAGCACTTTTTGGTTTCTGTTTTATATATTTTGATTGTAGGAGTTTGCGTGCAGGACTACATTTTGCGTTTTTTTTTTTTTTTACATTTATTTTAATTTTATTTCTTCTCTAATACACAGCCATGTTTACCCTGTTAAGGGTTAAGTGTATAGGGGTTCATAAAACTACAGCTTTCTGTCTCTTAGGTTTTTTTTTTATATTTTTTTTTCTTCTTTCTGAAATCAGAAAGGTGAATTGTTGGCGTATGACTCATATAAGAGGTTTGCCTTGATATGGCCGGTGAGCTTACACTTGAATTACAATCGGTGTGATATAAAGAAAAACATCCAGTTCTTTAACCCCTTAAGGGCACATGACATGTGTGACATGTCATGATTCCCTTTTTATTCCAGAAGTTTGGTCATTAAGGGGTTAAATGTGCATTGGGATTTGAGCGAGAGCACAGGTTACTCCTTTTTGGTTTCTGTTCGAAGACCGTTAACTGAATCACACCGTTTTTATCAATTGTTCTCATAACTGTAGTAAAACCGTAATGCTTTGGTTTCCATAACGACAACACAAGGATACATGCTGTATGCGTCCCCTCTGAATAAACAGTTTAGTGATTTGTTTTAGCCAGCTGTAGGAGTAGATGTACAAATACAACATGTGCTGGCACTCAATCACGTCTAAGGTGCAGGTATTCGAGGTTAACCCTAATAAAGCCTCATAATATCAATCAATAAATATGAATACCGCACTCTGGTCATATATATGACAAAAAATCAATGATAAACGTAAATGGTAATGCAATTAATTTATTATTCCCTTAACTAACTTTCAAATCCATTAATGATTACAAAAATATAGAAGATAAATTTCATAGTATATAGAGTTACATGCATTTCATCCTATGTACAATAGCTATTTACAAAAAAAACCTCCATAAATACTATTTAAATTCATTATATGGATATATATACAGCTGGGGGATTTTCTGATAGGTTAAAAATGTAGAGGGTAAATGTGTTCCAGCAGGCTAAATGTTCAAAGCTTGCTTCTGTAAATAATGATCCTGCTGCAACCTCATCAGAAGATCAGTGACTGCAGGGGCCTTCGAAGGGACATGGATGTCCCGAGCGCGCAGCCCAAGTACTGTCAGCGATCTTAAGCCAGATGCACACATACTTATGGCGGTGAGGTGATCTTCTGATGAGGTTGCAGCAGGATCATTATTTACAGAAGCAAGCTTTGAACATTTAGCCTGCTGGAACACATTTACCCTCTACATTTTTCACCTATCATCAGAAAATCCCGCAGCTTCTTCAATTCTCCACATAAAGAGGACATTCCAATTGGTGAGATCCACCCATACATAGAAATTCATACAGTGCACTATATATATTTTTGGACTGTTGTACACAAGGACTTTATTTTTCATTGTTTACTTTCTTTTTTGCCTCTTTTATATATTTTTTTTTTCATTTTTCCCATGAATTTTTCTTTTGTCTTTTTTCTTTTTCTGTGCATACAGACAGCAGCAGGTTGTATCATATTGGATACTCCGCTCTGACACTACCGGTGGGATCATTACCAGCTGTATATATATCCATTTAATGAATTTATATAGTATTTATGGAGGTTTTTTTGTAAATAGCTATTGTACATAGGATGAAATGCATGTAACTCTATATACTATGAAATTTATCTTCTATATTTTTGTAATCATTAATGGATTTGAAAGTTAGTCAAGGGAATAATAAATTAATTGCATTACCATTTACGTTTATCATTGATTTTTTTTGTCATATATATGACCAGAGTGCAGTATTCATATTTATTTATTGTAGGAGTAGATGCTCTAACTATTAAGATTTAGTTATAAAGTGCCAGCGGATTCCAATTTTCAAGATCAAAATCTTCATACAGAATACAAATAATGATTGCTAGGCATTTAGTTGTTACTTCATCACCATCCAGCTTCTGTCTCTGTAGTCAGGATAGGTTTCTATGAGTCGAAAATCGTGTGTGTGTGTGTGTGTGTGTGTGTTACAAAAGGCTTTCAGAAACCTGTATACTGTGACTGACCTTTTATTAATGGCCCACAGATTTTTATTTTTGTTGTTGCTTTTTATATATTTTGCCTAATTCTAAATCTAATTATTCTGGATGTCAGCCCTATTGCATTCAAAAATTGCTATTATTTTGTGTGTTGAAACTAACTCCCTCCCACCCCCCACCCCAATCTTCTCCCCAGGTGTGGTAGATACTGGCCTCTTCATCAATATGGCCGAGAGGGTGTATTTTGGAATGGAAGATGGAACAGTTAGTGTCCGCGATAAACCTGCCCTCTAATTCCTAAGTTGCCAGCCGTTGTCTGTTGTCATGGAATGTTTGTGCCAAGTAGACTTCTCATTTCTTCCCATGTTCCTCAGCTACATTGTGTATTTCATTTGCTGTTTTGTACTCTACAGTTTTTTTTTGTTTTTTTTTTCTATATATTGTATCTTCCACAAAAATGGCATACAGGCAACCTAATGGGTTATGACTTTCTTTGATGACCACACTTTAAACTTTTAAGTGCCAAGTGAAGTGTGTATTGTACAATGTGCCATTTGTTGTGACATTTAGAACATAGCCCTTAGCGGTTTCCACCGAATCAGCTACTCTTGTGCCATTGAAAGGGGAAAAAAAAAAAATTTCATTTCCATATTGGTTTTGAAAGTTAAGTTTAAAGAGTAAATAGCTGAAAAATTCAAAAAATAAAAAAAAATGTACAATGCACGGTTCTCGAAAACGTTAAACCATTGTTGAAACACTTGTATATTTTTTTTTGATGTGTGTCTGTGCCTTATGCAGTTCATTTCTGTTTTATATTTTTCTGTATCTCTTTAATATTTCATGTCAGTGCTTAAGACATTTCTAGGCAATGACCAATATTGCTGCACTGTGGTATGCCGTCCAATAACTACATAACAAATGGGAAATAAACTTTTTTGGTATCGTCCAACCTGCAAGTACTAGTTTAGTTTTTTTTTAAAATAAAAATAATCCAGTTTTCTGTATGTGTGACACACAGCTGGCAAGGTACTCCTGCCTCGGTACTTGGAATTTAATAACTATCCCTCCAATAACAGATTACTTACGGAGTCTGTAAGGCACAATTGTTACCGCTGCTTCTGTATCCAAGCAATGTAAAATATGGTTCTGTATTCTGCAATAAAGACTGTAGATGAAAACTTAACAAGCGGACTGTTTTTGAATTTGTGACATGCCAGTGGTCAAATTAAACTGTGGTTCTCTGTGTGTTTTAGTATGTTTGTATGTTAATATAATCCTTTTAGCCTAGCTTTACCCACATATATGCACATATCTAGATTTATGCCAGATTGTAAATATTTGGAGGACCCTCTTTATTTACCATGTTTTAAAAGTATTATTTATATAAAATATATTTATAATATAATTTATAATATAATTTTTTATATATATATATTAAACAAAATGTGCTTGCATGTTGTGTTTTCTGTAGAGGCTTTTTTTTTCTTTTCTTTTTTTTCTTCTCTCTATACAGTTCTCGCTTGCTGAAACACACACCTGTTTGTTTCGGTTCTAGAATGCAAATGAACTATCTGGTTCTGCTTCTCTAACTTTTACAGCTGTTTTAATATAAGCTTTATTGATCAATCTTTTTTTTTAAATGTAAAAAAGAATAGGCCGACAACTTTTTACTCCTGTTTTAGGGCCTTCATTATATTTTATGATCATTCCCTGAAGTAGTGCCGGTTACTTGCACAACATTCACTAATTAAGATTCTATTTACCATACTTAACCTAATAGTTTCTCCTCCCCTCCCCCCTCCCCCAAAAAAACAAACAAACAAACATTTTGTAAATTAAAAAAAAAAAAATTCTTGAAATTACCATTTAAAAAAATAAATAAATCTGTGCAAATATTGGTACTTATAGTTATTGTAGATCTACCAAAGGTATCTAACCACCATTATATCCCCCAGGATCATGTATTTGCTGAAAAGAGAAACAAAGTAACTCAAAGTTACCCCAAATTAAATGTGTTTTAAATCTCGTGAGTATGTGTTTCTTCTTCTCCTTTGTTTCCTAATTTGCTTTGCCGCCGTAATCTATAATAAAGACTTTTAACGATCTCCTTAAATCATACATGGATTAGTTATGGTCATCCTTCTAGTTTGAGGCACAATTCGAATTGGTCATAATACAGGCATATTGGAATCATACTGAGGAGCCTTTGCGTCAAGTAACTCAATTTAATTGTTCTATCAAATCAAACTCCAAGCTTGAATCTGTAGCCAAATGCCACACAGCATCGTAGGTTGTGGATATTTATCATGTTTTATAGAATGGTCTGTCTTAATGTATTGATCACCATAATTACTGAAATGTCCAAGCATTTCCAAATACAAGGAACAACATGAAATATGTGTATCTTCCTCATGGGTATTTTGTCCATGAATAATGCTTAAAACCACCTGATTCCTATTGAGGTGTATTATAAAATGTAGTCTCCGATAATAAACTAACAAGTGCTTGAGTGTAAGAAGAATTTGTATTTCATGCCACTGACAGTCCTTGCATTGACAGTCTAGGTGTGCTATTCAACAAACTAAGCACACTCTTCATTAACTCTTAGACAAAGTTACGCGGACTTATTCATTGATCTTTTAAAGGGACCCTGGAGGCACTATATAAATGTGTAATTTGATTGGTTAGAAGTGGTCAGCTGACACTACAATTGTAGCCACCCATTACTTCTCAGACTAATGCTTCCTCGTTAAACCAAACGGCAAAGCGGGGATGGGCTACTGGGGACTCTTGTTCAATATTATAACATTACTAACAGTTTGATACTGAATAGAAGAATGGCATCCAAGGACTCCAGACACCATAACCACTTTGAGATGAAGAATTTACAGTACCTACACTATTTTAAGTAATTGTAATAAGTAACCCCATACTCTACTGGTAGTCCCCAATAGAGATGCATTTTATGTTTCCAGACTTGCTCATAAGGAATCACTGATATTGTGACACATTACAGAAGTGGACCGCGATTATCTGATTGTATTGTATTAAAGAGAAGCTGACGTGTGGTGGAATTTGTAGAACGAAAAAGAAAACCAAAAAAAATTAAAATCACATCTTGCTTGTGGGCAATATTTAAAAACCCAAATGCCGAGCCTGAACTTGGCAATGAAATGGTCATTTTGTCTTAAATTTGGCTTTTATATGGCAAATTTTAATTAAAACTACTAGAAGTAGGCCATCACTTTTAATAAAGAAGTTATTGAGAAGTTAACCTAATAAGCACTTTTAAGTCACTATCAATCTTTTTTGCATCATATGAGGATAATAAAAATACTGTATTGTAAATGTTATATATTTACACGTTATAAGAGCAGTACTAATCTACCTGGATGTATCCCCCCAAATTATACAGCTGCTGTTGTTAAGGCCAAATTGACGCTTTGATCTGTAATTCCATTTAACTGTGGCCCAGATAAGAGGAATAGAATATCTTATTAATTTTTTTAATTCTTGATTTTAAAGTGAGGAATCTGACAAACTCATAAAAATGTTTTTATGCATGAATGGGTTAAACTATGTAAAACTGTTCTTTGGTGCTTCTTCCTTTTGTGGGCACTCCACCCTGATTCCCCTGAATTATTGGGCCTTAACGAACCTGTCGTGGCTGTTGCACCTGCACATTTACACATTTAAATGGCCTGATCATTGACAGCTGAGAGAGAATGAACGCTTTTTTAACTGGTATTTGATGAGTGTAAATCTTAAATCTATTTAACATTTCTTAAATGTCACATCTTGAATCTGAATAGGAAATACAATAAAATATGTGTACTTAGGGTAAGAACAAATGTGTTAATTGCATCACTGGAACCAGATTTGGGTCTTAATGAGTCTGCGCTAAAACAACCAACTGGTGGCCAAAGTACAACTCGCATAATCCTCTCTCAACTTTATATGTGATATGTATGGAATAATGATGCATAAAGTATGAAATAAAATAGGAATTCATCACAAAGTAGCCAGGTTCCTAAAATCAATGAAGATCTTTGTTCTTTCCATGTGGGATTCTGACATGTGACCTTGAAATTTAGGCCACATTGCCTTTTCATTGCCAGAGGAACGCACCCTTTCATAAATATGTGTTTTAGCATTTTTAAAGACTAATTTATATGAACTATAACCTTGTTTATATGTAGATGTTAGACTTACTGATTTACTTAAATGCAGTCACTGCTCTATTAGAATAATGACCGTTATTGGGTAATGTCTAGTTCAAAAGGAGCAGGCAACCTTTTGGAATTTTGGACTACATAATGCTCTTACAGCCTCAATGCTGGCAAAACATCGGGAAGTTGTAACCCACAACATCTGGAGCGCCAAAGGTTGCCTAATCCTAGCCTAGTTGATCTTGCATATCTAGCTTCTAATATTCACTCCCCCCTCTAGAGGGTGCTGTAAGTAAAAATAAAAAAATACATTACCACAACCCTGTAAGCATCAAACCGTATTGATGCAATTTCTATATAAAAATTAATTTTTTCATAATATACAATATTTTCTTTTTATATTGTATTAAGTGACAACTCGATATGAATAAAACTTTGTGTGTTCTTCCACCTAAATTTGTTCTAAATCATATTATACAGAGGGTCTGGTTATTTTTAATCTCTTACAACTTTGAATACCATAGGAACGTTTCTGCCATGTGTAAAAATTCTCTGTTAGTTTACAAAAAAATATGTACTAAACTCGAATTTCTTAACTGTAGGGATCTAATCTTCTCCATCCCAAAAAGAGTTTACATAAATTTGTCAAAAGAAATTTCAACTGAAACAACTTTTTGACTTGACTCCTGAATGAGGCTCTTAACATATCCTTACTAAAAGCAAATATAAAAATAACAAGAATTCACACACAAAATTTTTTTTATTTATGCCGATCTAAAAGTTGTCCTGCAGAAAAAAAAACCGGTATAAATATGTATTTCTGATTATTTTCCGCCTTTTGATTGTGAAAACATCCTGACATGAACACATTTTCATCTCTTTAAGAAACAGAAGTTTCTGGGTGTGAAAATCATTTCTTATGTCCTGTAGTTAATTGTCAACAAATTAACCCCCAAAAGGTTCCCATGCATCCCTAATCCCTGCTGAAAGATAAACTAAAATGTTGGTCTTCAATTTGAATGGACCTCATTTTTTTGTTTGTTTGTTTTTTAGTAACCATCATCATCGTATTTTGTTAGAAAGTGTGGCTTCTATTTTTCGATTCAGATCAATATGTATTTTGAAAACCTGTTTGGCATATAGTAAGAAAGATATGAGGTTGGAGACGTAAAACTCAATTGTCCATAAACAAACATCCAGTTTTATAGACACGAAGTAGATAATTGGAATAATAATTTAATACACTTTTAAAGAACTCAGAATTGTCTTGGATATTTAGAGGAGTTTTTTTTGTTACTCTCTCAAAGGGACTGGACGTGTGCTTGGGGAAACTCTTGGATTTAAACTAAATCAATACGTGATTAATAAAAATATGTATGTTTCTTAGAATCAGAAATATTTAACCATGTAAGATTTTACAATAATCAGCATATTAAAAACTATTTCTATAGTGTTTTTTTTTGTTTTTGTTTGTTTTGTTAACTGTGGGGGTTCCAAATCACTTATATGTTTTTACCAATTTAATGGTATTCTTATTTAATAAATAAAGTAATTCTTTTTACAGGAGGAATTCTTCACAATACAATGAATTGTGAAAACCAAACTTAACAAAAAAATGAAAATCACTCTCCAAAAATTAGATTTTCAGTATTTTCCCCAACTCTATTATCTTGTCTCTGATGATATAGATGGTTTGTCACTTGACCACAATTTACAGTTTTTTCTGTAAACCATAAATCATTATATAGTACTTTAATGTGATTTCTTTTTTCTTTTACTAAAATGATTCTGTCTTTATTTCACACAATGAGCCCTTCCAATCCATTTCCTATACAAAAAGTAGACATTCGCCTTTCAGTGCAGAAGTTTCATTTTATTCTTAAAATCTTAAAAAAGATTTATTTTTAAAAGCATACCTCTTTACCACATATATTCAACGAAAAATACAGAGTAAATATAAATACAATATCATGTTGGAAAAATGTATATAATGAAAGGTACAATAATAATTTTGTAAATCTGATACAATTTTAATTTCTACAAATTAAGTAGTTATACTTAC